TTTTTTTTTTTTTTTTTTTTTTTTTTTTGTGGGGCTTTTCTCTTGCTGAAGGCCTTATCAGGTATAGGTTGATCTATAGGGAACAAGCATTTGATAATTTAAAAGTAAAGTAAATGTTCAGCTTTCCATCAGACAATCAATGAAAAAGGGAACTGTTTTTCACAGTCAGGTATAAACACTTCTAGTTCCTTTTTACTTGGATTTTTGTTTATATTTAATGGTGTTTATTCATTCCATGTGCCTATTTTTATATAAGGAGCACAAGAATAGTTGAAAATATGTATAAAGAAGTGGGGGAGGGGGGGCTGGAAATGTTGTATACAAAAAGATAGGCCAAGGAGTATATATATCTACTCTTGAAAAAAATAAATACATGGGCCATTGTCTATTTTTTAGGCATTTTAGAAGGTACCAGAAAAGTACATTGGTTTTCTATTGATGCCGGGAGTCCCTGATACAGGGAATAATGCGCTCTGACTTCATGATTCAGAATGCTGAACAATTGTTTTATTAAAACTATTTTACACTAATACTATATTAAAACTATACTAAAGAGATACTATACTATATTGCACTAAAGAAAACCTGTGACTGTCTGAGACAGGCAGGACACAGCTTTAAGTGATTGGCTTATCACTCAAAACAACTTTCAGCAGTGTCCAATTAACCTAATTACTTTTGGTTAACAATCTCTATAACACATTCCACGTGTGCAAAAATAGGAGCAGTGAATAGAGATAAGATTTTTTTCTCTTCTTCTCTCTGTGCTTCTCACTGCCTTCCCAGGAAATATCCTTGAGAAGCTGTGCCTGCTGCTCTCTGTGAAGAGAGCTGTGCTCACAGTTTCCTTTTTATGTATATTAAGAATACATTTTTCTTCTGTATTTAGTAACACTATTCCCTGCAATGGAGATGGTTTGGAGGTTCATTGGCATTAGCCACTCCACGGACATTAGCTCAGTGAAGTACATTTCCCAGTTTCCAGTTAAGGCAGGCAGACTGGAGATCACTTCAGGGGCCCACGACTCCTGTTGGAGAAGCTGGAATGGAAGTTCTCCAGTTCTCCTGCAAAGGGAGCTCTGACTGTGGCCTTGCTCTGCCAGGTGCCAGTGGCTCCCAGCTCAGTGCCAGCCAGGAGCTCTCTGCCAGCCTCAGCACCAGTGGGACAGAAGCTTCACCAGCCACCGGCTCTGGAGCCACTCCTGACTGTACAGCTGGGGCTTGAAACAGACCCTTGAGGACAGGCAGCAAATATTCTAAAACTACATGAAAAAATGGAAACCTTTGCCTCTGGTCCAGGCAGTAGAAGCTCTGTTAAACTTTCCAGCACCAGAAATCATTCCCAGCACACCTCTGCTTCTCTAGGATCCCCTTGGAATAGCACAGGCATGGGAGCAGAAGGAGAGAGGACAGATGGCTAAAATGTCTTCTCGTATCCTGTCAATCCGAGCCTTACAGTGGCACAACACCACATGAGGCCTAACCAGCTCCTTCTTCTTTTGTTCCAGTCTATTTGTCTCTGATGAACACACTGTACTTTAAACTGATTCCCAGAACAATGAATAAAAAATGAGCAATTAGGCAACCTACTTCACCTAGCTGTATTCCCACCACTGTCCATCTGGTCTCATGCTAAACAATCCTTTTAAGAGGGACTCTTGCACACAGCCACTCCAGTAATTTTCCTTTTTGATGTTACCTCCCTCCCCAGCTATCAGAGGCAATTTCTGTCACTGTCTCCTTCCTCTGTGCTTATACTTTGCATGTCCTTCACAGCACTTGTTCTAACCACCTGCATTCCTACCTTGCCAACGCAGACACATTTAGTTCTCTTAAAGCAAACATTTCAAATGAGACACTGCAGATGGGAGAAATCACGAGGCAGCCAGAGCTCTGCAGTACAGGTTGGATCAGTCACTGTGTACTCACCACTCTGCAGCAGAAGGACCATGACTGTGTCATGCAAGACAGCTGGTCAATACCAGAGCAAAACTGGAAACAGGATTCTTCCCATTCTGCAAATTGAAGCTCTGCTCATATCTAAACAGAACAATGTTTGTAAGAAAGCAGCACAATTTCTACCCCCAGCCATTGGCTCTTCTGCACATGATCCTCTAAATCTTTTGTGACTTAAATGACTTAAGTAATTAAGTCATTTGCAAGTACTTGCAGGATGTTCCAATTTCTTTTGGAACATCCAAAACACGAAGATGGCTTTGAAATGCTCATGTCTAAGCTGTTTATTTTCATAAGAAACGAATTTTCATTAAAATGTTATTTTCTTCTAGTAACTGCATAAAACCCCCCAAGCGTGTAACGTACCCTCAAGAGGGCAGCATGGTACTTGAAAATTCACCTTACAAAGGGAATAATGCCTTGGCATAAGAGCAGGCTCTAATGAGAGCATGGAATTAATGTTGTTATAAACATTAATTATAGAAAAATTAGGCAAAAAAGAAGGTAAGTCTATGGCAGGGCCATTAGCTCACCTGTCCATTGCTGCTGTTCATGCAGCACCACAGGGATTACAGCAGCAGCTGATGCAGCACTGCAGTTTCCAGGCCAGTTCTTGCTTAACCAATCCCAACTGTGAGCAGTCAGTTCAAAGCTGTGGTGACATTGTGTGCAGGGCAAGGAACAGCCAAGCTCTGTGATAATGACATTTGTGTCTGTGACTGGTAATAACTCTGTTCATGCTTTCCAAGATACAGAGAAATGAAGGATTAGAGGAACATTGACTACAAGGTGATCTCATGAGTAACTGAGTATGGTTGAGTTTCATGGCACTGCATCATTTTATCCTTCCATAAAAGCATTGTTTCATCACAGAAGACCTTTTCCCCCTCTCTCCTTATATAAAAATTCCAGTGTGGATCTATGCTTCACCAATTCATATCCTCTGATTCTTGTATCAGCTATCAGTTAGCTCTTACACTGCTTCCGTTTTGTTTAACTAAATGTGTTTCTGTCATTCATACTATGAAAAAATCTTCCAATTCCTTGACCATTTTAGTAAAAATTCTCTGTGCCTGTTCCCATGTAAATCTTGCCTGAGCAAAGATAACAACTGCATTCCAGTTGAACAATCCCTGTCACTGTCCTTAATATTTCTTCAAGTATTTCTACTGGAAATTCCTCATGTCACCACATGTGCTTTTTTGAGCATGGATGGCTTAGGGATGGTAATGGTTGCATGTATTTGGAAGGCTTGGAGAAGGAACAAACTTGGGAGTTAACTGCAGGTCCAGGCTCAGATTTTGCCATCACAGGCCAGGACAAACAAGATTGTATCTCCCGTACCTCATTTGGAGTGATGATAATTTCTACCACGCTATTACTAACTGGTACCACAGCTATAAAATTATATAGAAACATAATACCATATATCTTAACTGGATACTTTTCAGCTCACTAAACTAGAGCCTCTGCTGTAATTCCCTCAGTAATGTCCAAGGTCAGATAAGTGCTTTGATACTGGGGTATTACTATATAACCCATAGTTATTATCATATTATCATGTAACCCATATAATATTATCATATAACCCATATTATTATCTCTAATAATAGAGATTAACAAAGATTCTGTAGGAGTCCTGTTTCTTAAGTGCTTTGATACTGGTATATCACTATGTAACCCATGACATGTCATGTATTAGGAGAATTTCTTTACCCAGTTGAATTTTCCAAACCAAAACTTCTCTTATTCCAGAAGAATGCTTACTTGAATTATTCCTTAAATTGGTGTGATTAATTTCATCATAAATCCTGTGTACTAAGGAGAAAATTTCTAACAGCATTTCTATAGCTACTGCTACTTAACACCCTTCTACCACCCAAATGTAGTGCATTGCAAAATAAAAATTAATTTCTTCCTGATTTTCTGCAGTGTTTTTTTTGTTGTTATTTTTGGGTTAGTTTCTGAGAAAGCATTTGACCTGAAACACAAAGAACTACTCCTGTCATCAGTCAAGTGCCCAGTGATTGCACAATGGAGTAATCAGCAACATTTTTCATATAGTCAGGATATTATACATGACACCCATCCCAAATGCATCAAATCTTCCCAGATTATTTGTGCTCAGCATGGTGAGCAGGGAATTATCTATAGGCAGGGAATTATCTATGGGCTGACCAAGCCACCCCAGATGGGGGACACTGAGATGGCATCAAACCCCTGCAGTGCTGGCTCAGCAGGAGCTGGGCAAGGGCTAAACCCCTCCCAGAGAGCAGTGCCTGCTCCTGTGTGCATCCCCAGCCCGGGGTGAGCTGGGCTTGCTGCCCTGCCAGCCTCAATCCTGCTACACACAACATTTTTGTGCTCTGGGGGAGATGAGCAGTGCTACAGGGGAAGAGGAGCTGACTCCACACTCATTGGTCTTGTGCTCACATCTAGCAATCGATTTGCCCTCTCCCTGAGAACATGAAATAACACCCTGTGAAACAACACAACATCCACAGCATCTGGCATTGCACAGCAGCCTAAACAGGGAACATTTCATCCAGTCCTTGGCTCAGGAGCACAGTGAGGCTGGATACCAATTCCAGCTATCTTGACACACAGAGAGCTCGAGAAAACACGGAATTTGAGCAAGGACTCAAGGTGAAAGACATTCTATCTTGTGCATGTGGTGCAGTTCAGCACCTAACACAGTTAACACAAAGGAAAATGCAATAATAAGTTCCTTTCTCCTGTTCCTTATTCACCAGACTGTTTGCAGGCTCATTTCATCTCAGAATCTATCATTACTTCTTTAAGTAAGAATTTGTCCTGCTCTCCTAAAGTTTAGTGCGGAAAGCTGTTGTAAGACTTCTGCATTTCAAATAATAATCCAATTAGATACTCTTTATTTTATAAGGTTTCTACATATTTAATGAGTGATTTGATGAGAAATAAAGTGAGTACTAAAAAGATTTAAGAATGAATCACCTTAGAGCTGAAAAAAGTTAAAAGAAACCTGACTTAAAAAAGGAACAATGTTTTCATGACTGACTTACACAAGTGGGCTCTGCAATTCTGGGAATTTATAGGAAGCCCTTCTACATGCCTGGATCACTCATTCATTCTGGTACTATTTAATGCTCCTGCTTCTTGTAATGTATGGACTGTGCAGATGTCAAGAGCCTTGTTGACATTTAGCTGGCTCAGATTCTGATTCAGAGATCAGTTTCCTTGCAGGGAAGGATGAGCACACTCCCATCTATAGATTAGTTCTCACCGCTTTTTTATCTAGTTGAGAAAGGAAAAGAGAAAAAGTGACAAACTGTGACTTTTCAGATAAATCCCTAACTCAGACCTGTAACACTAGAACAACTCTTTTGATATGGCTCCATGCAGGTGTGGAAATTTCAGCTGGACAAGATTCTTTTTTTAGCTGATCTCTGTGTTTCATTGTCCCATGTACACAGCATTATTCAGTTACACAAGGGAGGCAAAACCTGTGCCATTTGCATATGTGCAGTTAGGTTATGGCAATGGAAAACCATGAGGGTGGCATTACTCAGTACCAGGCACTGCCATCATTTATCCTGTTGAGAAGCTGCATACCATGAGCTTAGTCCTACACTCCTCTCACTCCTGAGTCAGATTCAGCATGTAACCATTTTTTTGTTTTGCCACTTGCCAGGTGGCAAAGCTTAAAACTGTATCCTCTGGAAAGAAATGGCAGAAAGGTACAGCTCAGTCATCTTTCCCTCCATCCCCAAACATGTGCTGTAGTGAGGTCACTGTTTCCTGACTGGAGACACTCTCAGCCTTCCCAGCTGCAGAACACAAAGCTCCTTCTCCTCAGCATGTGCTGCCCCAAACCTGCACTGGAAGTAGAGCAAAGCCAAACCAGCCCCTTGTTTTCATGCTTCAATCCAAGTGCCTGGACTCTGCATCCATCTGCCCCCATCCTGCTCCCAACCCCAAGTTCTACATGACTGGAATATTCCCTTTGCTGGCAGTTAGCAGGTTTTACACTGCATTATTTATTACCTTGAGAAAAGTCAAAGGATCTTCACTGAAAAACATTAAGTAAGCCAGCAACAAACAGCAAAAAAAAAAAAAATAATTCTACACTTAAAGCAGATATGACTTCCTTTATATATACATATATATATATATATTCTGATATGAGAGCTCGGCTAAGTAGTTTAGTGGTGCCTACTGACTTTTGTTAAAGTCTTCTTGGTATTATTATTGGATAAAATAAAACCAGAAGGTTTCTACATGATGAAAAAGACCTCAGGCTGGAGTGTGAAAGAGATAATCAATGGTTTTTGCACTCTGTCCTCCAAATACTGAAAGGAACATGTCAGCCCAAAATATTCCAATTGGGAGAGCACATTGGAAAAGAAGATGGAGAAGATGGAGAAAAGTAGGCTCTGAAAGAAAGATCATAGGGGAAAAAAACCCAGATTAACAAAAATTCTGTAGGAGTCCTGTTTCTTAACATGTGTTAAGATTTCTATCATCACTGATGTTAATAATTGACATGAAGTACATGGGAGTTAGATAACAGCAGGAACGTTCAGGCCAGGACTATTTTCATTTTCCAGTGGTGTGAGGCACTGGGTAATGGGGAAATGCACAACCATGTCAGAGATGATCTTCACTGAATTAAACCTTGAGGAACTTTATTCTGTCTAGAAAAAGATTCCTGCTTGTGTCATGCAACAGGATGTGTTCTTCAGAGGACTACAAAGAACAGGAAGTTAATTTTGTGTTCATGAAAGTGAGGAATTAATAGCAAAGCCTTAAGTCAGTTATAAGCTGCATGGGTATTGTGCAAGCCTCATCACACAGCACTGCCATCTCACCCCAATTTATGATCTGGAACACAGCAACTTTTACAGCTTTTAGCTGGAACTGCAAGTTGTACCAAAAGCATACAATGATTTTATAAATACAAGGGAAAGAGATAAAAGCTCCAAATTCCTTTTGCTCCTTCACCTAGCTCAAGTACAAGCTGGACACATTCTGATGACACACTGCACCTCCAGCCTCTGCAGATCACACTGCTGCTGAGTTCAGGGTTTAAATACAGTCACTCCATCTTTGAACTCAGAA